ACTTTAAAAAGTTAAAATTCACATACTTACTTGAAAACAACTTTTATCTATTATCACAATATTTTCTGAGGAAACTACAAATTCAATATATAAAGGACATAGTTTTCCTCCTGTCCTGGAATTTATAATCTAAAATGAATCCCAGTCCAATTTTCTGCTCTCCCACTCTCAGACCAAGCTGGCCCTGTGAACCAGTGCATCCCAGGGCCTAGCCCAGGGCTGGCACAGCCACAGCAGGCACTTCACAAGCATCTTGAAAAACCAACATGGTCTCTTTCTTTACCTGCAAGGTAAGGATAACTGTCCAGGACAAGAATGTAAAAAATACACTCTCCTTCCCAAGCACATGATAAAATTTCTCTTGCATTTCAAACTGTTGTTCAGAAGCCACCAAAGAGGAGGGCAGGAGACAGAAAGAGGGCATGGGAGAAAGAGGCCTTTTAGTCAGGAGACCAGACCTCTTTACTGTTGGTATTTTGTAATACAAGCAAGCATTTCTATGTATTACTTTGATAAATTAACAAATATAAAGTTTAAGATTTAAAAAAACACACAGAAAATTCACATTCCAATATATCTATAACCAGTATTTGGTGGCATCAATGGAATCTACTCAAGACCAACTGAGTTTCTTTCAGCTCTTTAATGAGACTGAGTTTTTAAGATGCAACAGAAACACTGATCAGTAGCTTGCCAAGAACCAGATGTGTCTGATCTAAGTTATGATTTAATCAGACCAGTATTATCTACCATCAGTGTGTCTTTGGAAGTAAAAAATAATTTTCAAGGGATGTTAGTTTAACTAAATGTGCAAACTGAGCCAATATTACATATTCTGAGCAACACAATAAAAACTACTTTTTCTTTTAAAAAGAACCTTCACAGAAAACTCACATTCTTGAAAATAACAAAAATACATATATTTGCTCTTCCATATTATAGCTTTTGAAAAGCTACCTGCAGGCAAATGCAAATCTGCCTACATATGCACACATCAGAATAACCTATTAATATTAACCTGACCTTGGCTAGAGGCAGATCTCATGTATGCTTCAAGAAAAATATTGGAATTACAATATTCATGAGACTATATCCTCAATACAAACTTCATTTTCTACTCATACATTTTCAGACAAGTCAAAGACTCACTCTCTCCATTCAGCACTGACAGATTTCATGATGAGCTATCTAATAAAGCTCTGATAACTAAGACATCTAAGGCTGCTAAAGCAACTACAATTTACAAGGAATACCTGAAGTGGCCTAGATGGTACAATCTACAATTTTTCTCATTACCCTGTTCATTTCCTTCATAGCAAAAAAGTGCTATGGGTAACTAACTTATTTGTCTGCTTACAATCTAAAATAAATGTCTAGAATGTCACACCTGGGGCACGGGTTATAGCTGTCTTGTTCATCACAGTAGTTTCCAGGCACTCAAAATTTGTTGAATCAATAAACATAAAATTGAAAATTTTATGTGCTTAAAGACTATATGTACATTGTGCCTACTATAGATATACTAGTATTAATATAAAAACAAACCAAAAAATTAATATAACCAAAGATAAATAAAAAGCTATTATTCAGACTATATAGTTGGATTATGGTATTGGTACTGAAGATGGTTAAAAGTAGACATAGGGCCCTGGCCGGGTGGCTGTTGATTGGAGTGCTGTCCTGGGCACCAAAAGATTGTGGGTTCAATTCCTGGTCAGGGCACATACCTAGATTGTGTGGGTTTGATCGCCAGCTGGATGCGGGAGGCAACAGATTGATGATTCTCTCTCTCCCTTCCTCTCTAAATTAATAGGGTGAGGATTTTTTAAAAAGCAGACATAAGTATTCATCAAACAAAAAATATTCAAATAGGTTTGCATTCAAATGCAGAAAAGTGGATTATGTTGGTTTCTGCAATCAACCATGTCTTTCAAATTTATTTCCTATGTGGCCATCTTTACAATTTTTAAAATGGTTTCATTGTTCAAGAAAAGGCTGCCAGAAAAATGTGACCCTCATTTTCAATTAAAATCAAAATTTAGTATTATAGATAAAAATGATATCGTGTGTGAAGTTTTCAAGAATCTCAACCCCAATTCACTAAGTTAGCAGTGAGTCCCATCCAAGAACTCCTTTCTCCACACATTCAATATATAATTTTGATGGGGAAATAAAAAGTGACCCTCCAAACAGCTCAAAATCTCATATAAGTTCCTCTTCCTGTAGATATTCCAATAAATTCCTTGGAGGACCAACCTCCTGAATTCTATAGGAAGAGCCTTTACTCACTTGCTGCCATGTTAGCTTCAGCCTTTCATACTGCTCCTTGCCATCTTCTGAGCAATCGGAACAAGTAAACCTAAAGAAATTATCACCCTTAAGGTAACTGAGCTGTTCCCTCAGCTGACCTAGGAGAAAAACAAAAAAGTATATCATAGGTTTATCTAAGAAGAGGGATAACTCAAAGGTTTAATTCATTTAGCAACCAGATTTTAAGTTTCCCATACTGTTTTTCCTTTATTTCACCCGGTTCATGATAGAAGGAGGCAGGGAAGGGAATAGAGAAGATTTTTATTCTTCCAACATCAGGGTATGCCCATGAAGATCTTTGGTTCCCTAACTTTTAGAAGATGTTGGAAAAAGCAATTATTGCTCACTGGATTTTCCAACTGTTAACATTCCAGACTCCTACAGGTCTCTTCACACACTCTTTCAAAAAATATCTGAGCTCCCACTGAGTATCAGGCTCTGGGCTAGGAGCTGGGAATACTATGCCCAAGACAGGCATAGTAACTGCTCTCAGTTTACAAATTCTGTAGGGGAAACATGAGGAAATAGGTAATCACAACAGCACAGTGGTTCTCCATCCTCACTGTACATCAGAATGGTTTTGTTTTAATGTCTTGGCTTACCCCACATGAAATAAATCAATCTCTGAAGTGGAGCCTGGGTCTACATTTTTTAAAGTGACACATGCTCTGGAAGACATGAAAACCACTGCAGTAGTAAGGGCAATGTGAGGGCACATAAAAGGGAAGATAGGAGACCCATATTGGGAAGATAGGAGAGCTAGAAAAAGTGGGTTCTACAGGATGGCTAGAATTGGCCAGGGGAAGAGAGGTGCTTGTGTGTATGGGGGAAGGGCATGGAAGCTAGAGATGAATATTCCAGAAAGAAAATTAAAATGTGCTGAGTCCCAGGGATGAGAGAGACTTGTTTGTAGAGAATTAAAAGCTCACCCTAACAGCAGAGGTCTGTTTATGTGTGAGGATAATAGGATACTAGAGAGAGAGGCTAAAGAAGTTAGCAGGGGCATAATCATAAAGGGCAGGTTAAGATGTATACCATCAGGACAAGGAGAAAGCCACTGAGATTTTCAGGCAGGACCCTGAATTAATAAGCAGAAAGCGACACCTCACAAACAAAAGCTACCTATAATGAAGTCTAGACTTGTTTTCTGTGAAAAGTTATGTTAGTAGTAACTATTAATCTGAATAGTTGAATCTTCACCAAAAACATTTCCACATACCAGAAAATAACCCACTTCACAATTACCTAGTTACAAATTCTATTACACAAAGAATTCCTCTAGTGCAGTGGTCGGCAAACTCATTAGTCAACAGAGCCAAATATCAACAGTACAACGATTGAAATTTCTTTTGAGAGCCAAATTTTTTTAACTTAAACTATATAGGTAGGTACATTGTTATTAACTTAATTAGGGTACTCCTAAGGCTTAGGAAGAGCCACACTCAAGGGGCCAAAGAGCCACATGTGGCTCGTGAGCCGCAGTTTGCCGACCACAGCTCTAGTGCATACGTCTTTACTAGACTCTGCCTAATAGGAAAACCCTGTTGTGGTAAGACGCATGATGACTGGCAAAGCATATCTTCCTTGAGAACTAGGAAGCTAGCAGGTGAAAAGACTGAGTTGAAAAATTAAAGTATCAGGGGAGCATGTGTGTGTATCTATCTCTTGCCAGCAGATCATAGAGGCCAAAAAGAGAAAACAAGAATGATCCTAGGGGAAAAAAGAGCACAAAACACTTTAATCTGCTAATTCTGGCCTTACTTCAGCCTACCATAGCAGGAATTTTCCATGTAAGTTAAATACTAAGAGTAATTTTTATGAACTTGAACTTTAATTCTACACTGGGCCCCAAAGTCTTAACATAGCCTTATTAGAAAAATCTGGCTAATTTTTTTAAGTAACACAGGATATCCAATTTTCTAGTCTTTATTGGGTTACCATCAAGAACGTTATTTTAACAATGTGATAAATATCAACAGTAATTTTTATAAGTATAAATGTGTCTGTTTTATATAAATTTGTAGTTAATCAACTAAACTAAAAATATAATAATTATCTTTTTATTTAGGTCTATTTTACATTCTTTTTCCCCCCCCATGGGTTAGAAAAACAAACACATAGAAACTGACAGATCAGAGGAATCGAGAAGCTCCTTACTGGCTGGTATCCATTTTTGGCATTTGTCACAGAAGTAGGACAGCTGCTCCTCCATCCAGGACACATCTCCTTCATCACTGTTGAGGGAATCCCCACTCTGATCATGAGACAAGTCCACTGATGCCTGGTCCTCCGATTCAACAATCAGGAGAGTCTCCCCCTCCACCTCACCCTCCTCCAGTCCTTCTGAGGTAGAGGTTCTTGTGGCTTCGTCATCATGGCGACTTATCAAACTACCCAGGTGGATGTTACTATCCATCCCTTCTTTCTCAGAGGGTCAGAAGTGCTTTCGTAACAATCCTAAGCTCTGACCAAGCTTAAAGAGGCCTTTATCAGGATTACACAAACAAAAACTCTTCAGGAGAGTATCTGCCCTATTCTCTACTCCGATATAATGAACTTTTAAAGTAATAATTTAGTATAATCCATTGTCCTTTTCCTTGATCGAGTTTAAAAGGACAGTGACCAAAAAAAGGTTGAAAATCTTACTAAGCTATTCTCCATCAACACACTCACATGCACATACACATTCAACACTATCTGTCCCATCAATATTTCACATTCATTTCAAGTCATGTTATTTGAGATCCTTTGCCAATAACATCTTCTCTCTTTCGGCTTCAAGTTGCTCAGTCAAAAGAATCTGTTCTCCCAAAAGACGAATGTTTTCTTTTTTCCGATTTTGCCTCTCAATGTCTCTGATCACTCCGTCACGAAGCCTCTAAAAATGTAAGAAACAGATTTCAGTAGCACCCTGAACAGGTGGTTCCCATCCTTGTTACATTCAAAACCAAATAACAGTGTTACCAAAATACACTTAAAACTTTCAGATGCCAAATATCCAACTACTCTTTTAACTTTCTCTATAAATTTAAAATGTAATAAAGAAACCATCAAATTAATCTGGGAGTATGCTATAACGTTATCACTTAAATGACTATTGACCATATTTTAAGAAATTGCTGAACACTGAGTATAGAAAATTTAAATGGAAATAACAATTAAAAAAGAAAAATTGTCACTATGTTGAATTTTAAAACTTTTAATTGATATATGACACTTAAAATATTTGATAAGAATTATTATGGTAACTCTGTGAACTACTTTCCTGTTAGCAATTTTCCTAACTAAATAAACATCAAAGAAAAAAAAAGATTGCTAAAATATGAACAAGCTATAAGGCAGATGCAAAAAAGTAAAAAACCCAGCTTCTAGTATACAAAAAGTAAAAATTATACAGAATTACTAATCAATTATGTAACAGAGAGAGAAGGGAAAAAAATAGAATGCTACTATCAGAGGAAAAATTAAAGGCCCATCAATGGTAGTTACTTTGATAAGCACTAAAGAACATGGACCTGGCACCAAAGATGAGACTTTTTAAAGCATCAATCCAGTCATGACTAATAAATACCATTTTATAGTCACAGGTCACAAAATGCTCTAATAAGTTTCTAATAGCAGCCTTGTGAGGCAGGATTAATGGGGATGGGGCAGGGGTCTGAACTTTTTTTTTAAATTATGATGATGTCTATTTAAGAGACTTTCACCAAGTATCTACTTGCTGGACCTCGAGGCCTAGAGCTTCATTCCCTATTATGAGGAGTAGAGGGTCCTAAGACTAATAATTCAACTGAAAACCAACTTTCTTGATCCCTGAACCCTTGGCAAGACTTCCAGAGACAGAAAAGGAAGTGCTCATTCCACTCCTCCCTCCCCAATTCTTCCAATCCTGTGCTCCTCACCACCCCACCCCCAAAGCTCACACCTTCCACTGTAATCCCTCCACAACTGTCTGAGATCCTACCCTTTTCAGAGACTTGAGTACATGCTTAGGATCTTGCTCTTGAATCCATCATTTGCTCTCTTCCTCCAAGTTTCAATGTGCACGCTGACCGCCTCCCACATCTTTCCTGTGAGGTCCACTTAACTACCTTACGAACCACCTCACTTACTAACCACTAAGGCTTCTCCACTATTCCAATTCTAACACCTAGAACTCTGGCTCCTCACGTAAGTACTACTTGTTTTGCAGGGTTCCCATGAGGATGAAAGATAATGTATATAAAATGCTTGGTACAGTGCCTGGTATGTAGTAGACAGTCAAGAAACAACAGTCATTATTTATTTCTTGCTTCCTTGAACCTTCTTACATATCCACCATGTCAATCATTTGGCCAACTCTTCCCCACTGCTAGAAAGTAAGCCCACAATGAATGATTGGATGTAAGATAAGATAAACACAGGTTATTCTGGTCAATCTTTTCTTCATCTCTAACTTCCAAATATCTAAATCTACCTGTTCTTCCACTCTAGCAGGCAGCCAGGGTTTCTTAACCCTGGCTGCCTGCTAGAATCCTCTGGGTCACTTTTATTTCTTTTTAAATATTTTTTTTTTATTGATTTCAGAGAGAAAGGGAGGAGAAAGAGATAAACATCAACGATGAGGGAGAATCATGATTGGCTGCCTTTTGCAGGCCCCCTACTGGGGACTGAGCCCAAAACCCCTGCATGTGCCCTTGACCGGAATCGAACCCAGGACCCTTCAGTCCGAAGGCTGACGCCCTATCCACTGAGCCAAACAGGCTAGGGCTGGGTCGCTTTTAAAACATACTTAAGCCCAGCTGCTGTGGCTGGGTGACTGAGTTTCAATCCAGATCAGCGCACTTGCTGGGGGTTTCGGGCTCCATCCACAGTGTGGGGCGTGCAGGAGGCAGCCGATCAATGATTCTCTCTCATCACTGATGTTTCTATCTCTCTCCCCCTCTTCCTTCCTCTCTAAAATCAATAAACAAAACATACGTAAGCAGAATCCCCATCCCCAAGAGATTCTGATTTAATAGGCCTGGAGTAGGGCCCAGCCTCAGCTGCATTGTAAAAACTTTCCAGGAACATCGGGTGTGTGGCTAGGTTTCAGAACCAAGCTCTAATAATCCAGCCCTCCCTGACACTCTGAAATTCCCTGTTCACTGACCTCCGAGCTATATCTGACACACTCTACTCCCTCTCAATTTTTCTTGGGATCACCATCTTCTTCCTTCTTGGGAGGAAGATTCCTGCCTCTATTACAAAAGCTACTCCTTTAGAACCCCAAATCTCTAGTCTCTTCCAAGCCTTTTCATCATTAATCACCCCATTCCCTCCTCCACACAATTCTTGTATCTTCACAGGGTTCCCCTCCTCTGATTTCCGTGGATTGTGAACACCGAGGACAAAGCCCTCATCTGCTTCATATCTGAATACCGAGCACACAGCACAGTCCAATGCAAGCAGTGACTTTACTATTGATTCAGGTCATTGCATTCACCCCTGGCCAACTAGGCTCTACCAATACCCGCGCCCAGGTGTCCTCTGAGAGTTCACCAACCACCCAGTTCCGGTTCCCACACTCAACATGCAGCGCTGTTTTCAATCAGTTAGTCTGTCTCAGGGGCGGCTTTGCTTCCTTATCTTTGTTTCCCAAAAGTTCCTGGCGCACAGTGATCAGTCATTAACCGTTTACTAACTTGAATAAGAAAGTATGAGCAGAGAGACACAGCATGGTCGGTCAGGCTAGTGATCAGCAAGTCAGGGTATTATTTCTAGGGATGTAAGTACCAAAAAAAGAAAAATTGGAGGCTGGCATCGTTAACGTTCACAGAATCTAGTTTTCATGGAGATCAACCAAGAACTTGTGTGTATCCCATGGACACAGACAATAGTGAGGCGAAGGCCGGGGGCGGGGGGGGGCAGGGACGGGCTAGAAGGGGTCAATAGGGGAGAAAAGGGACACGTGTATTGCTTTCAACAATAAAGATAAAAAAAACAACAAAACATACAAGCATCTCACCAAATTACCTTGGCCAAAGGCACGAAGGCGGATGCGGGAATGCTTCTTTATCGTGGGATAGTCTTATTCGCATTTAAACACCGCAGGACCAATCGTGGGCCCGGGGGTGGAGAGGCCATAACCTGCTGAGTGCACCCCAAGGAAACGCCTCCCCTCCTCCCCTCCTGCGGCCCCAGTGACATTCTAAAAGGTCGTGTCGCTGCCGGCTGGCGGCCACTAGAAAACGGGGCCGCTCCCCACCCCACGGGCGTGCGTTCGCGGAGCACAAACTTCAGCGCCGAGGGCCGGGCTCCCAGGCGCCCGCGGGCGGGAGGGTGGCCTGGACCTCGAGTGCGCACGCGGCCGGGGGTGGTGGTGCTACAGCGCCCCAGGCCGAGCCCGCGACGCGTGGGTGAGTGTGCGGTTGCCGGGCCGCACCGCCGCTGTTGAGAGGACGAGAGAGAAGGAAAGACCAGGACCAGCAGGAAACCACGCGGAGAGACGGGAGACCCCCAAGGCCGCCGCCGCCGCGGGGCCCGGAAGAGACCGTCACGTGACACCGACCTGCCGGTCCTGCCGCTGGTTCAGATGCACGCCGACCACGGTGGCCGCCGTCAGCACCACCGAGAGGCCCAGCACCAGCTTCGAGCTCCTCGACATCCCCGCGCCGGGCGCCCCCTCCCACCACGCGAGGGCCAGGGCGCCGCCGAGCATTCGTCGCCGCCAGTGCGAGCCAGACCCGACCCTGGAGCGCAGATC